CTGTTGGGCTTTGGGTCCGGGTTCTACAGCCTGGAGTTCCTGTTCCTGTGTGTTTCAACTTGGAGTGACTTTTCGTGAGTGCGGATTTCTCCCTTCCTGAATCTTGGACTGAATTGACGACGACACTGCTTAATGGACTTGGTAAAGACGCTTCTTTGGATTACTCCTACAACTACTCCTGGACTTTGGCTGGCTTTGGTTTCTCTTTCAACGGCTTCCGCTTGCTGTTAACTGTTGGTGTGCTGTGCTGTTTGTTTGCTGCTAAGTACTGCACTTTAATCCCGACTTCTTCTCTGGTTAATCTGGATTATATTTCCTTTGACTTTGTGAAGCAAGTTTGCTTAGTTTTTTTTTAGTTTTGGCCAGAAACACTGAAGGTTAAGTGTTTCTGAGCTTCTGTTTTTGTTACAATAAACTTTACATTGGAACTTTTACTGTGTGTGGCTCTTTAAGGCCTCTGTGTCTCAACAGAATCCTAACTTCTCCACCCATAGATCAGAGCAACATTTGCTATACCTGGAAATAAATATAATGACTTGTCTTTGCTTTGTTTAGACTACAAGGAATACTGCTCAAGAAAGAAGTTGGCAATTTGGAAAAGGCTCAAAGGAAACTTAGAAAGATAATGAAGCATGAAAGAGGCTAATCCTATGGTTCAATGACCCAAAGGAACCATAAGTCTTTAGCCAAAATGGAAAAATATCAGAGGAAATAAGTTGCTTGAGATTGAGCATTAAATGGTATTTCTGGGTGCAACCTTCAGTGCCACAGAATGAAAAAGGAAGTGATATAACTAGCTTCTAGATTCCAGAAGCACTGGTCTAAGGAAAAAAATTTAATGGCAATCTACTCAACTTCCTTTATTAAAACAGCATTGATTTTTATAATGTCAATTGCAACAATAAAAAAGATAAATCAATCTTGTATATGAGGAACTGGGGAAGAAAGTGAGTTAAATAGTCTAGTTTAAGGTTTCCTCCTCCCCTAGTTTAAGGTTTCCTCCTCCCAGCCAAGTGTAAAGATTCAGAAGAAAAACCACTCAAAGAAACCAACTCTATAAGACTTAACTCCAGCTTCCCTGGTTTGCAGATCAGACTGTTCATCATGTAATTGCCGTTTTGTTCAATTACTCTCCTTGGATATATTTTCTCAATGACTATCATATACATACTTCAGTTTTTAGATTTGCTTTGTTATTAACTCACAGATGTCTTGGTCTAATAAAGCATCCATAGATTTGCTTTGTTCTTAAAGTTCAGATGTCTTGGTTTAATAAAACACATTTTCCACAAGCAGAAGTAGCCTTCCTTAAGATTTATAACCCCACTTTACTGAGCCCCCATTGTGATCTTTAAAAAGAAAAATTGCTTCTGCGAACTGAATAAGATGTATGAGTTTGGAAATGAACAGTCCATAAGACAGGCTGTAACAGACAAACTGTAACGTGGCTTTATTCTAGAACTAATCTTTTAGTACAATTGAATATATCTATGTATGATGTGGATTTACTACTTTCTTTTCAACAAGATAAATTTTAAAATAGATTACAGTTTGCTAACAAAGCTAGTTTTGCGCACTCTTAGAAGTTTTTTTCCTGGACTACAACTCCCCTTATCATCATGGTCAATAGATAGGGAGGATGAGGGATTCTGGGAGCTGTAAACATGTACATTTGCAGTCTCTGCCTCTGCTTTGCTTTCTTGCAATTAGGGATAGATAGAACAATCTTCCAGTCTGTATCACATTCATATGTATTCATTCACAAACTCATTACCTCATATTTTCCATACCTCTGAGAATCTCTTCTTTAAAATACATAATATTCATGTTTAATCATGTGCATTTTTATATTTACTTTCTCACGAGCTATGCTTTTCTGTATTTTCCCCTAAATATATATTTTATATATGTATTCATTCACAGATCGCTTCAAAAACAGTAATGGAAGATAGACCTGTCAATGGTTCTATTGCATGTGACTGATGAGTACAAGTGACAGGGTTTTCCCCAAGTACCAGCCCAGATAGAGAATTCCCTCTCCATGGAGGTACACTAGAGACATCCATCCTCAGCTTCCCAGAGGCAACTAAGACTCACCTGTTCCATATAACTTTGAGGGCCCATTTACACTTACCATTTAATTCAGCTTCAAGCCAACCTGAAACTACAGTGACCACAATATACATGCCACCAGTGCCCACTGTAGCATGTATAATAGGGTTTTAGTCTTTATTGCTAGTGTACTTTAAAAAATACACTGCAACGGAATCTTATATCTCAGATCTAAAGCAAAATTGGCTCCACGATTTTTAATTCTAATGTGTCATGCTATTTAAAACTGCCTTAAGTACTTATGGAGAGAAAGGTGAGATAAAATAAAGTATATAAATAAATATAAAGAACATTTCCTTCATGGAATAGGTCAATGCTTTCACAAGCTTTGTAATGTTAGAGACCAGCATTTTTTTTCTTCACATGTGCAGGGACTGGTGCCATATTTGTCTCATATTGATACCATGTGTTCCTGTATTTCCTGGAAAGCCACAAGAGACCAACAGCTAATAGCTCATGGACTGGTACTGATTCACAAACCACCATTTAGAACATCACAGGAATATATACAATGTTGGCTTGATCCATTTTTTTCTGTGTACACTTGAAACACATACTTCAGGTGACTAATTATAATCAGCCCTTCATAGCCATGGATTCAAACATGCACAGCTTGGAAATATTTGTTTTAATCCCCAAACCAAACCTTGATTTTTCCATTCTATATAAAGGACACAATTTTACTATGCAATTGAATATAATGGAATTTGAGAATCTACAAATTTTGAGTATCCACAAGGAGGTCCTGGAACCAAACCCAAGTGACTACCAAGAATACATGATATACCTAATAATTTATGGAATTAGCAATACAACCCTGTGCAGTTCAATTCTATGTCATATCCCAGCTTGTGTAATCACTGTAGTATCCTACAGGCTAAGACCCACTGGGTTGAACGAGGCTTGTTTCTAGGTAAGTGGATATAGGCTTGCAATCTTTTTCAGAAGCAAATTCTACCATATTTTGTGCTAGCAAAGGACATACAGAATTTTGGTACTGTCCTCCTCTAAGAGAGCGACTGCTGAATGAGTACACAGGACATTTTCACTTTTTCTCTTAATTTCTATTTGTTGAAATCTTTTGCTATTATGAAGGACTGCAACACAGTGTCTAAGTGTAAAGTTCATATTTTCCTTGAGATTATTCAATCAAAGTGATTGGCAGTGAAAAAATGATTCTGAAAAGCACTTTGTCTAGCAAAATGAAAAAGATATGAAGAGGCAATCGATTAAACTAATACACAGTTCCTTGCATTCAAATTATATTTTTAAAATATAATTTGAAAGATGCTGTTGTATCCATTTGTAATTAACACTACATCCTTTGTATAAAATCCTTTCCTATTTCTACTACTTCAGTCTCTGGTTTTAAATACCTGTTCTCCTTTTATCACTTGGAGTGAAAGTAATGGATGGGAAGAACTGGACCTTCATTCCATATGTAAACAACTAGTACATGATGCTGGTGTGGCATAGTAAGGAACTAGACAGTAAACTAGGTGTGACTTCAAACATGTCTTTGAAACCTATGTTTTAAATGTTCCTTTCTTTTTCTTAAAAGGACATGAACAAATAACCTTTTTCTCTAGTGCAATTTTCCAGCTAAAAAAATCCTCTCCCTCCAAGTTTATGTCTGTTACAAAAATAGATTTTCGGAAGGGGTTTGAGGCAAAATAATTTTTTAGATATAATTTAATTTTAAAATGACAAATGGTCAATCTACCATGTAAAATCGTTGCAATAAATAGGGCTGCCAGACTGAAAACTGGAGATAACTACTGCATCATTAATAGCTGTATAGAAGGGAGAATCGAGTAAAGCAAACAGGTAACAAGCAAAGCCTGCTGAACTCCCTGCTTTTCCACAATCGTTACAAGTACAGGAGCCCTCATTATTTTTTATTAAAACATTTAAAAGTAATAATATTCCTTTTGTTTCTCAAACAGTCATGATTATCAACGTAATATTTAACACATTCTTTCCAAGGTCTGTAGAAAACTACATAGGCGTAAGTATTATCTCATTTCATCCCAATGAGATAAAGGAGTAAGGGAAACAGAGATAGGGAGATTCATAGATATGGGATTCAAAGATGTATTTTAAGTATTTTTCCATTTCTATGACAAGAACTGGGAATATACAGTTGTCACATTTGAAAATCAGCCATATTTTAGGACTATTCCATCTACAAATCCATGATATCAATATTATAATATTGGGCTTCTTTACAGGATTACAAATTGAAAGGTAAATAAATATTTGAAATATTATTAAGTACAGTATACTTTTTGCATTACTGATAGCATGTTAGTGTTACAGACATGTTTTTTATCTGGGGGAGTTTTCTGACTGCATGTTTTATTTGTAAATTCACAAAAAAACTTTTAAAAACCAGGAATGCTGTCTACCCTTTTCATTTAATTGCAGATGAAAAATAGGATGCTGAAATGTTCTAGATGGCATTATTCTCAGAAGCAAATGGATGGAAGTGAGGTGAAGGGTCTAGCGCATGGAATGTCATGCATATGGAGATTTCTTCCTCTCAGAAGGCCCATCTGACCATTCTCCTCTTTAAGAAGATGGATGTTTATTATTTTACTGCTGTTATGTTACATTGGACACTTAACCACTGCTAAGCTTTCATGCCTTGAAAACTGTGTTTTACTGCTTATTACGCTTGTTGAAACACATTCACTAATCTCTGTAACCAAACAGGTCATTATGGCTAATGTGTTGGGTTTTTAATAAAGAATAAAAATCATAGACAGACAGATAGAACTGCAAGACTGACCCAACTTTCCTATCATATGCAATAATGCAGAATAGCCCAGATACTTCCTATATATTTTTTTTTTCTAGAAACACACAGGTGTCCATATGTAACTTACCTTAGCAATGATGCGACACAAATGGGAGCCTTCCTGGGTCAGACTGAATAAGTTGCTTGTAGCTGATTCAGCAGAATAGAGATTATCTGATGAATCTATTTCCTTCACCAGGTTCTGTGTGACACAGACCAAAATAAATTTCAATGATTTCCGTATGTATCATAGAAGAAGCGCCGTCCAGACTGCTAGGAGATTTAATCAGTTTAAAACTTAGTGTTAAAGAAAGACTTATTGCAAATGCTGTCTCTTCCTTGTTGCCAGTGCTGTCATTCAATCCAAACACTGGAGTCTGGATTACAATAGATTGCATCCAACAACTCCACTGGCAGCAGGCCAAGCTTTCTCTTCACTACTTTTCTACCCTGTATTCCTCTGTGCCCATCCCCAAGAGCAGCTCTAATGCATTTGGGGACCCAAGGAAATAGAAAAGGAGAAGAAATGGCATGTTGTCCAAGCAGCCTTTCTCTGCACAGATTGGAAATAGATTTTAGTACACTATAGACACTGGAAAACAATTTTTGTGCACATTTTAGTGCCACTGCATCTTTTTAAATGATATAAACTTGTACCTACAAGCCTGTGAGTTGCATAAGAAAATAAAGTGCCATTCTATTCATTTTTGCTGAGAATTTCAAAAACTTATTGAAGCATTATACATACATAAGGAATCATTTCCATACATGTACTCTTTCTACAGAATTCACTTTGATACATAACCAGGGATATAACCAACCGGGGACTATATATCAAATGAATTTTGCATGTTGGTATGCCAGAGAAATTGCAGGTGCACGAGCAGGCCCGTAGCCAGGATTTCAATTCGGGGGGGGGCTGAGTTTTTTTCAGGGGGGGTTTCGGGGGGGCTGAGTTTCGGGGGGCTGAGTCTGAGTGAAAGAGGGTCTACCCTAGCAAACCTTTTGTATCATTACCCCAATACCCCCATGCATATGGGATATATTGAGTATGGTGATCAGATCATGATATGAATAAACATAACAGTTTAAATAATGCACCAGTAAGGCCTTTTCGTGAACCACCATGAGAATTTGGGGGGGGGCTGAAGCCCCTCAAGCCCCCCCCCCGGCTAATGCCTGTGCACAAGGCACCCCTTGGTGCCCTGAACACACCCTCCCACTTTCCCCCATCACAAGTATTGGGAAAAGGGGAGAAAAATGTGGGTAGCTCCGTCAGAGCTACCTGAAACACTACTTACCATGCATCCTTGGCGAGGAAGTGTCTTGTGACACTTCCTCACCACTTTGGGAATCAATGAGGTGGGGCAAAGCCAGTGTCATGTGATGGTGCTCAGCAGGCCCCGTCCCCAAAGTGTAGCAAGGGGCCAAAAGTATGATAAGGTGGAAGGAGACATGTACTAACACCATGCTGGCCTTCAATGTTTTATCAGAAAAAAAACAAATTTAGTAATTTTGGCTTTTGGATATTTGAAAGCATTTCAAGCATACAGTTTTTCTGCAGATTTGCAAAGAAATCACAGCACATTAAACTTTACTAATAATTCAGATCATTATAGTAGGGTGACTATCAGAAATGGATCTAAAGGCATTCAAAATATTTTTCTTAAGAAGAAAAAATATGTACCTTTATTTCATGGGTCAAAGCTAGTTCTATCAATTGGCCAAAATACTGTGCAACTGTGGTCAGTGTATCATTAATACAAGATTTCATAGACTTTAGAATCTGTTCATCTTCAATCTGTATGCACCTGAAAAGAAATATTTTTTTAAAAAAAGTTGCACCTACATTCATGGTGAGTTGATAAATAAACTGGGGCTTAATAAAGTGTGAAATTAAATTGTAGCTAACATAAATATGATGATTAATTAAGGGTTCACCCAGATAACACAATTATAGCACTTTAATAGCAGTTTTAATGTATGTCTCGATCTTTGGGAATCCTGGGATCTGTTATTTGGGAGTTACATAGAATTCTCTACCAGAGTACTTCAGTGCTCTGCACCCAAGTTTTTAAGTATCTCACCAAGCCACAAATCCCAGGATTCCATAGAATGGCAATTAATGGTATCAGATGTCCATAATAGATGCACTTGAACATGCACAAATTGGATATGATAAGACAAAGACCTCCATGGATTTCGATTAAGGGAAATTGCATTGCCTTCTGATATGGGAAATATTCTATAAAACACATGGCATTTCTCTCCAGTTTTACCCAGCATTCCCTTAGTAATAAAAGAAATTACTGCATCCACCAGAGTGTGCATCTGCCCTAAAAAAAAATGATGCAGTTCGACACCACTTTAATTACCATGGCACAATGCTGTTGAATCCTGAGAGTTGTAGTGTTACAAGTTTTTCAGCCTCCTCTGTCTGCCACATAGTGCTGGTCTCTCACCAAATACAACTCCCAGAATTCCATAACTTTAAAATGTGGTGGTTTAAACAGTATTGAGTTGCATCAATTTTCCAGTGTAGATGCACTCAAAGTTTCCAGATCTTATGCAATACTTCCTCCTCTGGTAATTACTTCCTCCTCTGGTAATTCTGAGGTGGGAATGAAGCAGCCCTCCAGATATAGAACTGCAACTTCTAGCATCCTTCCTTTGAACTATGTTGGCTAAGACTGCTGGAAGTTGCGGTCCAACTTCTGAAGTTTCAAATATTTCCCAACCCTGATGTAAAACAGTCCATTTATTTAAAATCCATGGCAATACTATTATTCTTTAAAACATTCCCTCAGTATTTAAGAACAAACGATTATCATCAAATTGTAGTAATTAATAATATTTTAGTTTACCTTTCAGTAACAGTTGTAAGTTCTGAACATTTTTCTACCAGCATTGTTTCATACTGCAGAAGAAAGAAAAATAAATTATTGATATTTTCTTTTAATTTTAAATATCAAATATATAGGTCAAGAATTTCTTATTTGGAATTCTGAAATCAAAAAATAAGACAAAATTGAAACTATCCAATTGGATGACTGAGATAGTGAGACTTTTGCTTTCTAGTGGTTCAATGTACACAAACTTTGTTTCACACACAAAAATATTAAAAATATTGTGTGTAAAATCATGTTCAAGCTATGTGTCTAAGATGTATATGAAACATAAATGAATTTTGTATTTAGACTTGGTTCCCATCTCCAAGAGATCTCATTATTACCAAATACAAGTATTCCAAAATCTGGGAAAAAAAATCAAACTACTTTAGGTCCCAAATATTCCGGGTAAGGGATACTCAACCTGTATTTTCTTTTTGCAACACATGAAACGGTAAAACTTATTCTCATTTAAGTAAAATTACAGTTAAGAATTTATTTTAAAATAGATTAAGTAATTAAAATTATGTTCAAACTGCGACTACATCAAAAATAGATGTCTAATAGTGAAGCATTCCAAATTAACTAAGGGCCCTTCCACACAGCCCTATATCCCAGAATATCAAGGCAGAAAATCCCACAATATATGCTTTGAACTGGGCTATCTGTTCCGATAATGTGGGATTTTCTGCCTTGATATTCTGGGATATAGGGCTGTGGGAAAGGGCCCTAGGTCAGTGGTTCTCTACCTGTGTGTCCCCAGATGTTTTGGATTTCAATTCCCATAAATCCTAACAGCTAGTAAACTGGCTGGGATTTTTGGGAGTTGTAGGCCAAAACACCATGAGGCTTGCAAACATGCACCAGCCATTGGGAAAAGAAGAGATAAAGACACAAGAGAAAGAAGTTATTTTTCTCTGCCTCCTTTTCCCAAGGTTTGACTACATCTGAAGCCAATGGGATAACTGGGAGGCACAGAAGAAGGGAGGAGAAGCAGCAACTGTTATGGAACCCAGGCTCACAAAGTAATGTTTTCCCAAATCCTTTGCTTGAAATATAACCTACACCAAATGGTATTCATTGAGGGTCTCCCTTTCAAATATTAATTAGCACTGACCCTGCTTAGTTTCGAAGATCATATATGTCTTATCTCATCCCACTTTAATACCTGCAGAGTTTTGGGGCTTGTAGTTCTGTGAGCTCTTGGATTTCTCTTGCTGAGAATAGGGAAAGCCCCTTCCTAAAGTACAAGCCCCATAATCATGCAGGCAGCCACAGGATTGAAAACGGGCTCAGACTCGAAATCCTTTTCGGGGAGAAGGTTATTTTAGGAAGGGGGGTATTTACTCCCCATAATTCCTTCCAATAAGTCAGGGGAGTCTTCCATGACATTTACTTGTAGTTCCCTTTTGCAGCTCTAAGTAGATTTAGGGGCAAAAGTCTAGGGTCCCAGCATAGCCCTCCTAGGATACAGCTACACTGCAGAATTAATGCAGTTTGACACCACTTTTACTTGCCATGGCTCAGTACTATGCAATCCTGAAATCCAAACGGGTTTATTGTATATCTTACTATATTTAAAATAAGTTGTATACATAAAATGTATGCACACAAAACAATATTTGTCATCTCATTAGGGCTAGAAATCCTCCTGCCTGTAATCCTGCAGGAATATTGCAAGCCAGTATTGATAACATTGGGTTCCATGAACCAGTGGCATCTCTCTGTATTACTCTATAAAGTTTTTCACTTCTACAGATTCATAAAGTTTTTAACTGAGGTTATATAAGCATCTTGAATGCTAATGATCATATGACAAAGATCCACATTTCCACTGTATTCCTACCTGCTTCATCTCTTCCCACGAATTCCTCGCAAATGTGTTGTACTCACTGATCATTGAACGTACATGGCAGTTGACCCTTACTGTCATGCTATGAACCCTCTGCCATCTGTTCTTCTCTAATTTCTGTACAATTCTGGTCAACTCGGTGCTTATAATCCAAGCTCTTTTCAGCAACAACTGCAAGTTGACACAGTCACTGTGTTGTGATGAAAGGGAAAATTCACTCTGTGCATCTTCTTCTATGCTGATTGGTTTGGACTGAAGGATGCACATACACTCACAGTCCGTCATGAACTTCAAGTCTTCCATCCACCGCTGGACAGAATCCATCTGGATTAAATGCATGCTAAAACCAGAACAGGAAAGGAGAGACAACAAAATACTATGTGTTACTTCATTTTCATACATACTGGCTCCCATGCAACAGTTGTGATCCAAAATCAGTGGGTTCTGGTGTATAAATGTGCCATTTCTTTCTGAAAGTTCTGTACAGGATCTTAATTGTTTTCTTTAAGGTTAGGATATATATACAGTGCTAAATGAATCTCATTAGAGTATGCAAACATTAAGAGAATGGAGAACCACTGACAATGAAACTTTACATACATTACTTGTTGTGCCTTCAAGTCATTTCTCATTTATGGGGCTCCTAAAGTGACCATATTGTGGGGTTATTTTTGCAAGATTTATTCAGAGGGAACTTGCATTTGCCTTCCTTTAGGATGGAGTGCCCAAGGTCATCCAATGGGTTTGTATGCCCAACAAATCCTGGTCCTCAATTGTCCTGGTCCAGCACTTAAAATGCTATAGCACATTGGCTCTCACATACATTGCTATTAAGGGTTTACTCTTTTTTCTCCTTACTGCACAAAAAGCTGGTACCAAGGAGACAGTTCTCCTTGATCCACTTGGACCCCATGTTATGTTGCATAACAGTCTTGCCATGTATTGTAGAAAGTGACAAAAACAACCCCATAGACTGAAAATACTTTAATTCTATCCCTGAGGTGTCTTGGCACTGTCAACCAGAAGAGAAACAACACAATGTATGTAAACCATGAAATACATTACAAAATTGATACTTCCTTGATTCCAGAGAACTCTGTAGACATAATGCAAAAGGAGAGCTGCATTCTGTGGACAATGCCTGCAGCATCTGTGTTGGATCCAAAACAACTAGAAGGGCTTCCCTTAGCCACAAATGGAGCAGTCAGACAGTTGTCCCCAATAAGACACTCTTAATATAAAGTTAAGAATACTGAACAATTAATTTTCTCCATCCCTGTTTTCTCTCTCTTTCTATCTTCGGTTTATTTGCAGGGCTCCAATTAAGGATGGGCAAAATGAGAACGTAGCTCTCTAGGTAGGAATAAAGCCCCTCAATGAAATGCTCCAACTGTTTCTACATTTATAGCATTGTAAAGAGTGAGACACAGAAAATTATTCACTCCTAGAACTCTTATAATTCCTCTATATGCATTCCCTTGGTATGTTTCTCTGCCTCTTTGAATGATTAAATCCCCAACTAAACTTTTAATTTACTGCAATGCTAGAAATTTGAGGTCTGATGGAAAATGTCATCAATACAGCAAAAGAAATACAATTTTTCTAATTATGACCCATATTACCAATTGCATTAACATGCATTTTTCATTGTACCTTTTATTTTCTTACAAAAATGTATCAAAATAGAATAATGCTGTACAAAATAGAATAATGCCTGCTGCAGTTCTATAGAGCTTTGGATTGAACACATGATAATGATCCCTACATCAATTCAACCCAAGAAATCCATGTGTGCTAAATTAGTCATGCTGCATCTCCAACAAGCAACACCTAGATACCTTGCAAATTCATACCCTAGTGTTGCAACACAGAGACACATATCTGCCACTTGCCAAATTTAGGAAGCCACATTTGTTGTTGAGGTATACCTTTTCACTGTCCTTATTATTATCACAAATAAATAAGTTCTTCTTCTTCAAAGATAGTTGCATATCTTTGAATATCTCCAAAGACATCCACCCTTTGGCTGAGTACAATATTCTAATATGGTACAAAACAGACACAGAACTATAGAAATGATTCAATGCATTATATAAATATTATATACATATTTAAATTATCCATGGTTTTATTTACGAGGGTTATCCAGACGGTAAGATTACAAGATGTTTTTAAAAAAATACAAAGAATGAATATATTTTTATAAAACTTGCATGGATTGTAGCATAGGTATTCCATTATTTTTCCACATAATCACCATTCAGTTCAATACATTTTGTCATTCATGGGACAAGTTTTTGATGTCTGTGTCATAGAAGTTTCCCTCTGCCTTTTTCAGGCAGTTCGTCACTTTGATTTTCTGTGGATAAGTGAAATGTTTTTAAACTTGATGGGCTAACACTGGTACATCCGTTCTACCATTGTAGCAAGTGTCACCCCAATAGCTGTAAAAATGAGGGAGAAAGGAGCCCCTGAAACTTCCCCAATTATAGTAATTATGTGCTCATTAAACTAAAGAAATTTTGACTAACTATACTTTAGAAACAAAATTACAGTGCCCCCTAATTTTGTAATTACTTTTGAAACTTTTTTTATCTATCACGCATGCCTAGGAGACACCTATTTCCCATGTGAATTTCCCTTCTTAGGAGTAGATTTCTCTCACTTCCTGTTGTCTCACCCCCATTCTTAATTATGAGTCATTTGTAAGTCAGATGTTTGTAACTTGAGGACTGCCTATAATCCCTTCAGTACAAGAAATGTTATGCCTGAAGAAGAAAAAACCCATGTAGGAGTCAATAATATATTTGGTGGCAATGCCTTGAATTTCCTGCCATTCCCATTGCATCCATTGAGAACTCTGAGAGATATAATAATTTCACATATTGCTATGTAGCCAGATGCTTTCCAAATCCACTCCATTCCTCACCTGGAACAATATTGTGGGAAGACAATTGCAGTTACTCTTCAGTAAGTCTGGGGGGTCAGGGAGTGACCAGATGTTGTATAACTCTCTAATTATTACAACACTATGCTAATCCATACAGAATTGTGATTGTGATCTCTTCCATTTCACAAGTGTAAAATTCCTGTTGCCAGAGTTCTGCATATAAGCAGTCTGGTTGTAGCCTATATCTTGTGCATATGGATGCAAAATGAAACTCATCCATGAATATAAATGCAACTGATCAATTATTGTTGCAACAAAATATATAAAATTGCTACATTAAGTATAATTCATATTTCTAATTGGAATCCTAAGCACAACTACCATTTTGTCATTACAGAAAGCTGCAAGTAGTATCTCTAAGCACCTCTGTGTCCTGGATTGCTTGATTTCAGTTAAAATTAAAATCAATAAGTGAAGCAGCAAACAGAAACCTTTACAGGGGAAGAATGGCTAGGTTGATTTTCCTGAGCCTATTAGAGGTATTAGAATGGCAATCATTCTGAGCCCAAACTAACAACCACAGAAACAGCACTGACCTTACTGTTCCCCTTAGTGGTGCTCTCGGTTCAGACGCTAATGAGATTTTATTAATCCAGGCTGAAAGTATTGCAAAAAATAATGGTACTCTTGAAAAAAAATTGGAATGCAGTCTAGATCATAGATGTCCATGCTGAATATTTTTGACAGATTTTCAGTAGTGCCATGCTGACTTGAATTTTTTAAAAAACTGGTATGAAGACTTGTTAGCTCTGTATGTTTCAGCAAACAGAAACTTCAGGAGTCACATATATTGTGAAATGTTCACATGAAAGAGCATATGAGCATATCTATACAGACCAAAAGGTGGTGATGATCTGAAGTTGGGTAAAATTTGATGTTCAGGGGAACTGTTGAATCTCTCCTCTACATGACAGTGGACTGGAAAGAATAAGAATGAGGACAATTTGATGGTGATAATTTTTGGGTTGTTTTAATGCTTAGGTAATTTCACCAAGAAAACATGCACCATTTCATACACATGCATAGCTTCAAACTAAAAACTATTATTTTACTTTTTCATTCCAGCTTCTATCCTCTTGTTGTTTTTTAAAAACTCCGCAAATATATGTCAAACATGTTTCATAACAGTTGACCACATGCCCTAACCAAAATTACATGCTTCCACATTGGTCTCAAGTAATGCTTACCAAGCACTAAAGAGACTAATAAAAGATTTTTGCAAATCTTGGATGAATAATATCTACATTAAATTACAGAATGCATGCTTTAATTTACATGCCTGTTTTAATACCATACACAGAATTCAGATTTTCCACAAACTTTAGCTAATGCATGGCAAGACCTTAAGATGGCCTTGCTTCATATTACCACGAATCAGCCATTTGCAGCATTTGGCCACCTCAGAATTGATCTGCCTCTGCACTGATCCAAGTGGTCAGTGTAGAAGGGGCCAGAAACAGCCGAATGAAAGTCTTCCATGTCAGGTTATAAAAATATTCTGGCCCCTTAGCAATTTTGGGAACTGGCAGAGCATCTTTATCTCCCCCACTCCTACCCAATTGCTACAGAACTTGCAGCCTCTTTTTTTATATTGGTCTTTGCACCAGCATAGTTATAGCAGCAAATAAGAACTTGGCTAGCCCCTTTATTTCCAAGGTCTGCAGGAAGGAGTGGGTTGGGTTGTTGTGAGTTTTCTCGGCTGTATGGCCATGCTCCAGAAGCATTCTCTCCTGATGTTTTGCCCATATCTATGACAGGCATCCTCAGAGGTTGTGGGTGAAACATCTGGAAAGAATGCTCTTGAAACATGGCCATACCGCCCGGGAAACTCACAGCAACCCAGTGATTATGGTCATGAAAGCATTCAAAACACAAGGAGTCGGTTGTTTGAATAGTTTAAGTAAATTCTTATGACAGTGGAACATTTACTATCAAACAGCTCTTACCACCAGAAAATTCCAAATAATTTTGTAAAGTAAAAAAAATGTATTTTCAAATAAATAATTATGGGCAATTAAATAAATAAAAAAGTTGGTATGTTGAGTAGAGTGAAATGACTGCAAGTTCTCCAGCTTGTCTTGATCTAAAGAACCTCCCCTCCCAACTTGTGCAAATTTTATCATTTATGTAAATCCAAAAGAAAGAGGGATACTCCTGTATGAAAGATTCAGTACACAGCAACACCAAATAGACCAATCATTTTTGTGAGCCCCTGAAGGGATCCAGGATATCAGAACAAAGCCTTTGCCATGAACTATCTTACAGAATTATAGGAAATATATTGGACTATGCCTTGTAGTGCACTGAACCTCAAGCTGGAATTCAGGATCCCAAGGTGCAAAGGATGATCTGGTTGTACAGGTATAGTTCAGTATAGCTGCTTAGATGTT